AACTCTTCGTCTTCCTCCAAGTCTTCTCCTGCCTAAGCATTGAGCTGAGTCAATGTATGCTGCCGTGGGAGGAAGCTCGCTTACAAAATGACCAAATAGGTACAGGAACTCGATAAAGTTATTCGAAATAACAGGTTCGTCCAAGCCTTGCTCGTCGGCCCTTGTCAAGACGTATGCTCTTCTGAAACCACCGGGCTCTCGAATATGTTCGAATACAGGAGGTCGGGGATTCGAAGGACCAGAGAAGGAGCTGGCTCGAGGACGTTGCTGCACAGCAGCTTGCCACTTGTACACATCATGAGTTATATCGCCTCCAGGTGCATCATACGGTAGCGGAAATGGTTCGTTGTCTTCCGCTGCATGTTGAGATCCTCTACCAGAGGAGTTCGCGCCGGGATTAGATATGTAATCGTCCGGGTCAAACTCCAAGTCTACACCGGGCGAGGCACGGCCCTGTCTTTCCTGTCTAGAGACCAGATGTTTTCTAATGATCTTGGCCTTTTCCTCATCTGTCAGAGCGTCGAGATCAGGTGGTGTATGGATTGAGCCCCGCGAGCCCGAGCGGTGTATGGCTCCGAGTGAAGGAGAGCCGGGGCGAGGCGAGGGACTAGCAACAGAAGGTCGTCTAAGCTGGTTCATTCGGGGAGATGCTGATAGATTTCCGGAGGGAGAGCCGGTGAATGGAGGGATGGGTTGGGTAGGAGGCGTGCCCCCATAGCGAGCTCGCAATGCACGAAGATCCGGAGTGCCTACTTGAGATGGAGTCGTGATGCCCTCTTGAGAGTCAGACGACGGGGCTACTATTGGTATAGGCCGCGAGCTGTTTGGAGTGGACATTTGCAAGAAAAGCAGATGGTGGTGGTGGAGGAGAGAGCAGCTACTACCATGTCCGCTTTAGTCACATGCAAGTACAAGTTGCGTAAGGCGCTCAACGGCGACCTTGACTCGGACCATGTCGCTCTATCCACCCAGGAAACACGTTCCAGAGTTTCGACGAACAGAGCTCGACGTCCTCAAGTCGTCCCTCAAGTCGGTCTTACTTGATCACTCCACTCACTCATCTGACACGCAATCCAGATTTCTCAGAGACGACGACGAAAAGGAGCTAGACTGGGATGACGCAATCGCGAAGAAATATTATTCAAGTCTTTTCAGGGAATTCGCTGTATGTGACCTGAAGCACTACAAGAGTGGAAACGTACGTCTAGTCATTGGCTCTGCGGAAGAGACGCTGATGGCGGTGATCAGATCGCATTGCGGTGGCGCACAGAAGACGAGGTCTTGTCCGGCGCTGGAGAATCGACTTGTGGCAATACTCGATGTGAACACCATGCCCCTCCGACCCAATCACAGCCCACTTCATACCGCCGATGGGATGATGACACCGAGCCCTCAACCAGCACTCACAAAAAGACCAAGCCACCGAAACTGATTACGCTTGAACTTCCTTTTGCATACGAAGAACAAGGACAAATGCTGAGTGCTCTTGTCAAGGTCGTGGTGTGCAGTCGATGTCGAAAGAAAATCGACTGGAAGCGCCAGCACGATAAGCAGATGCTGGCTACCGAAGCGCCAACTGCAGGAACTTCGCCACCTCAGGATCTACTCGAAACCCATACGCCGCCTGAGGCAACAGTGACGGAAAACTTGGACGATCTCCCGAAAAGGTCCACTCAGCGGTCAAATCACCGTAGACACGAAGAACGTACAAAACGACCGAACCACTCCCGGTCACGCTCACCCAGAGCCAGACGGCGGCGTTCTAGATCGCCCTTATATGGGCGCGCCCATGACATACGTGAAGCTTGGATGCCATCGTGACACTTCTTCACGCCTGAACTTCGAAGCTTCGCGACCGATTAACCCGAGTTTTCGTTCTCATCCTAATTTTTCTGATCATGCTATCAATGGTGGACCATTCTTCAGGATAGTATCTAATTGTAAAAGTTTGGCTGTTGTATACCTATATCGTTTATGCAGGCCTGTCTATCACTCACTGATAGTACCGTAGTATTCATACCGGATCACGATTTATTCTGGATATTGCGACGAAATATGAACACAGGGGGGAATTTTTAATAGCACCCAACAACACCGATTTCCTTTGCTGCACATACACCATATGGGAATCAACAGCAGGCCGTACACCTTTTGTGCACATTGACAGGCGAAGACAAGATCCTGACACGCGTTCCATCACGCGTTGTCACATCAGGGTCATCTTCAGCCATGTCAACTCCCAGACGATCCAAACGCTTCCAGCCTCTGCTCAGCAGAAGACCAGATCTTCTAAAGGAGAAATGCCACTATACATGGATCGGCGAACCAACTCTCGTTCGTCCGACAGAGGACGCGGATCACACTCCCCCCGACGAAGACGAAGACGAGCGAGACAACGATCAGGAGACGACTTTCTATGGAGGCTTTACCAGACATTCGAAAAATGTCAAAACATCTGGGTCTATTTCTGACCGATTCATGCTCGGCGACACCGTCCTTGTAAAGACGATGGCCAGAGTGCCAAGTGTTGCCGTCTTGGTTGCTATGTGGCAAGTTCAGTCAAGGGAGGGAGGGGACGAGGTGCCAGAGATGAGGATCAAAGTTCATTGGTTCCTGAGACCTACAGAACTACCTGGTGTAAGGGCTAAACGAAAACATCGACCCGTGCGTGTCAGCTTCAGTCTCCTTTTGTGCCTCGACTGAACCTTTCTTAGAACGAGATATACTATTCGCTATCCTGGACAGACGTCATTTCTCCCTCCCAGATTCTTGCTCGCTGCTCAGTCGCTAGCAAAGAGGGCGACGGTGAAGCCCCAGCCTCTTTGGAAGATGCGCTGAGCGAGGAGAACTTGTTCTGCAGTCTTGCTATCGACTCACAACGAGGCCTTTACTACGATCTCGACTGGGACATACATCACAAATACGCCTTAAAGACAGCACCGCCAGGGGAGACTATCGCTTGGGATGTTCAAGTGAGAGAAACGGATGCAGACGCGTCACATATCACCTCTTCCAAGACGGGCAAATCGACTCAGTCTGCCACCTCCCGATCACCAGCTAAGAAGACTTCCTCCGAACTGGACGAAGAGTCCGAAGATGAGGAAGACTCATCGAGTCTCAGTTCCGCACACAGCGAAGACAGCGAGTCGGAAGCCAGTGTCTCTTCAGAGCTAACGGACGTACCCATGTCTTCCGTTGAAGACTCTGAGGCAGAGTCAGAACCCAAAACTCCCTCCAAGAAACGCAAGCGATCTACTCGTTCCGATGCTCCTCGTGCCAAACGGAAAGTGGCACCTACACCACATTCGAAAGCAGCTCTACGGGCTCGGCGGAAATTCCTCCATATCAAACCTCCTCCTCAGAAACCTCAGCCACTTTCATTGGAACATTTACCGGATGATCCTAGATTGAGATTGCTTAATGTTCTTCATGTCGGAGCACGGCCGAATGTTTTGCCTTGTCGAGAGGATGAGTACGCCGATGTTCTGGGTGCTATTCTTGGGCTCTTGGAAGAAGGTTCGGGGGGTTGCGTGTGTGAGCTGCAGATTCTACTGTCTCCCTTCACCCGTTAATTGTCCGCAGATATTTCTGGTGTTCCGGGAACTGGCAAGACCGCCACAGTTCATGCTGCTGTACGCGAGCTTAAAGAAATGGCAGAGAGGAATGTGAGTTAGTAACAATGCCTTTCTTGCTTTCATTCTGACGGTATGGTTCAGGAAACAAATCCATTCACCTACGTGGAGATCAATGGGCTGAAAATTCCGGAACCTGCAGCAGCTTATTCACTGCTATGGGAGGCCGCCGCAAACCACGATATTGAGAATGAGGGGCATCTTAACATCAGCCCCAAAGAAGCTCTCAAGAACTTGAATAGACATTTCTCGGAAGGAACACGAGCAGGACCTGGACGTCATGCTTGGTATGTCCCTGGCTAATCACTTTAGCATATTCATTAACTCTCTTTTACAGTGTGGTTTTGATGGACGAACTCGACCAGCTGATGACGACAAAGCAAGATGTCGTTTACAATTTTTTCAACTGGCCCTCCCTAGCTGCTTCGAAGCTAGTGGTAGTGGCAGTCGCGAACACCCACGATCTGCCTGAAAGAGCGATGAGTGGCCGAGTCCGAAGCCGGCTTGGAATGATCCGGATCAACTTCAAACCGTATACAACGGCCCAGCTACAAGAAATTGTCACCAAAAGACTGGAAAGTGCCAAGAGCAAGCCCTCGGACGATGTTGCGAAGTTCATGATTCCGGATGCTATCAAGTTCGCAGCCATGAGAGTCTCTTCAATCAGCGGAGACGCTCGAAGAGTACTGGATATATGCAGGTCAATCATCTTTCCTTGTCTCCTGTATTGAACTGATGAAGAGACCAGACGTGCTGTTGAGCTGGCCCAAGATGACAATGGCGTTCTCAAGACTGTAAAGATCCCCGAAGTGAAGAAGGTCATCGAATCGATGCAGAATAGTCCTACAGCGATCTTCCTGCGTGAATGCAGTTTGCACGAAAGAATGATGCTCGCTTCCCTATTAAAGTGCATTAGAAAGAGTGGTGTTGACGCGGTAAAATGGTCTGATGTGAGTATATTACATTCTGATCTTGGGCAGTGTCTAAATTTCTACATAGGTCAAGCACCAGCACCTCATATATGCCAATCTCCTTACAGGCGATCGAGATCCCATCATTAGGCCAACTGATCCACAATTGGCGCTCGTGCTTGAATCGCTGACCACATCACGAGCATTGATATTTGAAGACGGACCTGCGGTCGCACGAAAGGCATTGGGAGAACGCAGGCTTATGTTGATGGTGGAGCAAAGCGAAGTCGAGCGGGTACTGAGTGATGTCGGAGGTGATAGATGGAAAAATGTACTCGGAGTCGGGCACATTTCCTGACATTAAGTATAACATAAAATCGGCTTACACAAAAGAGAAGTTTTACATGTCGCTCACATCAACGGTATTGGAATGATAGTGAAAAAAATGCAAAAGTAATGACAAGACTGGGATTCGAACCCAGGCGGTTATTCACCATGAGAATGGAAGCTTTCGCTTGAGTCACACGCCTTAGACCACTCGGCCATCTTGCCCATGGATTGCTGTCCTAACAATACCTATATATCCAGATGCCATGACAAAGAGCTAAGAAACTTGTTACATCGGTGCTACAAATCTCGAAAACCACGAAGAGTGTCCTCTGCTTTCTCTTCCTGATAAGTTTTGGACAGTAGCTCGACAATTATCATTCTATCTCGACCTTCCACTTTCCCTGCTTCGCACCACTGCATCGCCTGCTCCTGAGATGGCGCTTGTTTCTTTTCGTGAATGGTGGGGACGCTTGTGTCAATCTCGTACGTCCGGGACCCAAGAGAAGGAAACAGAGGGTTTCTGGAACGGTTGAGAGCGCTGAATGTGTCAGCCATAAGATTGAGTGCATCTGCGGTCTTCGCACAGACTGCAGGTCCAGCGGCGCATGCTCGAAGCGATTCACCAACAGTAGCTATGTAGATCGGAAGAGAACGGTATTGACTAGCTTCTAAGGCAGCGGACAAGGCGTCTTTGACGAAATGAACAGCTCAATCAGATGAAGAATACATGCACGTCGCCAGTGACAGACCTCTTGGGCGGCCGGTAAGAAGGAATGCCTTTGATGCGGTGAGAGCAAGAGTAGGGACCTGTTTCCACTGCGATACCAGATCAGTGAAGATTCTCCAGTTGAGATGTCGCCAACTTTTGAGCGGCTTCTTTCTGCCAGTTCCAGTGCCGAATCCTTATCCTGACATTCAAGGCAGCATCTGAGTCCGATATCCAACAGTTCCCGCTCGTTGGCCTCAAAACTTTCGCCTCGTTTATGAGGAATGTCCAATTGAGCCTTGGTCAGAGCGAGAGCCTCGTTATACCTTCGACTTGCGAACAGATGATTGATCGTGAAATCGACGTTGAGTGGCCCGCTCTGTGTTGCTGAGCTGTGTTGCTCCAGATACCACTTGAACCCATTTCAGTATGATAGATCGATCAACCGTTGAGATAAAGGACAAGACCTGTGACGTTATGTACTTAAATTCATTTTTATAGGCATCCTTGCTTTTCATGAAAGCTTCTTCCATCCGTTTCTCTCTGGCAGAGGACTGGACATCTTCATCCTCAAACGCGAATTGATCGAGAAACCCGCTATCTGGATCCATTGAGGAAAAGTGAACAAATACACGCGGAGCGAGATAATAATGATAGAAGTAATCGACAAGAGGCTTCGGATGTTCCCGGTACGCTGACCACCATGTCACAGCTCAGTTCAGCTCTCAGTGAATGGACTTTAAAACTTCTCAAAAGACTGTGCTGTCTCTGGGATGGCTCCTCCATGCAGTGAGATAATGGACTGACGGTACCTACGCACGCGTTAGATGAAAGGTTTTTTTCCTGGAATTTCGGCGTCGCAGACCTTGTCTGCTCTCGATAATAGTCTTGCATTTCGGTCCACTTATGCAGGCGAATGCGCCGGTGTATCATCAAGAGAATGCCCACGACACAAAGATCAGCTATATGGTCATTTTTCAGCGTTCGATCAGATTCGACGATGCCCAACTAACCGGTTACGATAGCCAATGTGGTCAGAACATACTGCCATGTAGGAATCATGACAGGCTCTCCCGGTGCAGTATCGCAGACGTTGTTGTTCCCACAATCATCCTGTACTAGAATCAGAAAGATGAAAGATATGGCACTTGTGCGATATCTACGCTTTGGCATTCACTATCCATGCTGCAGCTCGCTCCGGTGGGCTTCGTCATTTGACAGGTCGTATTGCTAGGGTCGCAGTAGCTGCCGGGTTTTACACAGTTATCACGAGTGACGTTGCTTGTCAGTCGCTCTCCGTTTGGACCAGAACCCGAATAAACTGTTGTGTCGATGATGCATGGAAGACCAAGCGTGACGTTGGCATAGCTAGTCAAAATCAAGGGTCAATCTCGGACGAGAAGATATTATCGTACAAGCATGTTGATCGGAGACAAATTGACCCGTTGAAGTTTTGAGAGCTGGCATACGTAGCGGTGTTGGGGCCAGGGGCGCATTCATCTGAGCAGGATTGGAGCAATGGTACACCGGAACCCATGACGCATACCATCTCGATTCATCTGACACGGACTCCCAACCGGGATCAAAGGTTTACATGCATCCTCTTCGTCTGGACAATAGTTCCCAGTAGCGCATAGAGGCGGGATGGTGACACCATCCGGATAACCGAAGGGCCATGAATCGCGACGGCAAAGCCTTGGAACACATTGTTGTAGGGTTGGCGAACAGAAAGTCTGCGCATCGCAATCCGACATGAGAGCATGTGTAATGGGGTTGAGACGAGTATGTACAGTCGAACAGTTGCCTCCTTGACCGACGGTGCCAGCGCAGGCTTGAAGAGCAAAAGAGAAACCTAGAAGCCAAAGCATTGTACGGACAAGGCGAGGTCGAATGAAATAAGCAAGCCTCGCAACGATATATCCTTTTTCGATGACACCAGGAATAAACTGCAATTGAAGGCCACCAAACGGGAACACTCTCAGTTTTGAGCAAGGGAATAAAACAGATGCGACACAGAGAAAGAGGTGACTTGTTCAAATGCGTGCCAAATTTCTTAGAAATGAGGGCAACCAGTTCTGGGCGAGGATCTCGAAGGCCTTGATGGAGGTTTGAACTGGAACGGAGTCTGTATCCGAGTCGACTCGGGACTTTTGTTTGTCTTCTCCCACTCAGCTCCGATTCCATCAACTGCTGGCATCCTCATTTCTCGACCCTCGAGACCAAGGTCAAATTTTAATCTCAGATATTGTTGAGTGATCTCTGTCTGTTCACTCAATATTTCTTATCGTTCACGGTCCGTGTCATCGGCACCTGGATAATCTAAGCCGTACTGGACTACCGGTATGTCTGATGTTGTGGCTTCGATACAGTGTGGCTGATCTTCCCTTTTGAATGCAGTCTCTAAGACTCACTCTCAGATATGCAAGGGGCGACGACGTTGCCTAAAAGCCCAGCAATGCTTGATTCCCAGTCGTCTCATTGTCGAACTTCGATGGACGCCCGAAAAAAAATGAGACCTGCACCGTTGTGCCTAAAGTCCAGTCTTATATTCACCGTACGCTCTGCATTTTCATTCTCCGGTGATGCTGAAGATACTGCCTTGGCTTCTTGACAGTGACACGGATCCAAGGGGCACCTGCCACACTCCGGTGTTCACGTCTGGATCGAATTTAAAGCTCTAATTGTCTTCAGGGTAAGCAGCTTTAGGAACGCGGCGGCGTGTAGACAAAGAGCTGACTTGATACAGGTATAATACATCGGAGGAATAAAGCAAAGTAGTTTACCGAAGATAGAAGGTGCGTAGAAAACCGATTTAAAACCAAAATATTACAGGGGAAACGATTACAAGACATGGATTATATGGTAGTGGCGGCTATAACTCGATGGATTCGCCCTTGACACCGGTTTCGATTTCCGGATCTTCCTCCCCCTCTGCGTCTTCCTCTCCAAGAGCGTCTTCGTCGTATAGCTCATAGTGAGTGGGTATCGCTTGATATGTATGGCTGATCGTCGCACAATCTCCTCGTGCACCGGGCTCGGACCGATGGAAGGGCGGTACAGACTGATGTTCCACCTTAAAAGTTGGATTTTCAGGCGCAACTGAACCTCCTTCGTCTGTCCCTTGGCCATTGCTAGAGACTACACGGGAGACCTGACTAAGCGGAGTGGGCAAATCTCCTGGGACATAACTGGTGTATCCATTCAAATGGTTACCATTGAGGCCATTGACATCAACGTATTCGGAATGATGCGAGTGCCCGTTTGTGAGAGGTTTCCCATTTGGTATTTCTCTATGAGAAGCCAGATGATAATCACGGGGCATTTCCAAAGGACCAGGACTAGGAGTATTCATTTCTTCTGCGCTTGGGACAACCGGAGGAGTGATAGGCGTAGGAGGAGCAAGAGGAGGGGTCGTTGTATCAGTGTCGGGTTCTGGTGAAGATTCGATCCGACGTTTATGAGGTGAAGTTCTGATGCGTGGGACGGTCGGCGTTGATCGTCCAACAGATACTCGCGATGATCCATTCGGCGGCTCGTTTCCTGCTTCGGACTCGTTCGGCACATCTTCGTCATCCTCCTCTGGGATAGCGTGGTGATTTGCACGAATGCGCTTTGTGGGCGAAGCCCGCAGGTTGGTAAACGATGGTGACTTGGAGGCGCCACGACTTGAACGCGTTCGCCGCAGCGACAGCTCACGCGGTGGAGTCGCGAGAAGGGTGTTTTCTGCGACCGCTGTTGTAGCTGACTCCGGTTGTTCAGAGAAGAGACTTCTGCTGACAACAGGCGAGGCACCAAGCGCTAAATCGACACCCTCCTCTAGTCCTGATACTCCCTCGGGTTTAGAAGGGCCTGCCAACTGGTCGACGACAGTTTCCACGGCCGAGGGCCAAGGATCTTCGAGAACGTCCATCGGTATTCGAACACCAATGTCTAGCGGTTTTGTTTGGAGTGTCCGAGTGAAAACGAGCGGACTCCACTTCAGTTTCTCTGGGCGAAGTATATAGTTATCCTTCTTGGCGTAGTCAGCAAGAAACTGGGCAACTTGTGTGCGGTCCCAATGTATAGAATAATTGGGAGGGGGCACAAAAGGTGGCGGACCATCCTGACCATTGCTCTGAGCGGCATTCCGAGGTGGAGCTTTGGGACCTTTCTTGATGGCTCCAGATTTTCGAAATCGGGGGTTTTTGTATGGTGAAAAAGCGGCCGAGGTTGGGGTAGATGATTCGCGGACGGTGATCATGTCTAGGGATACAAGGGTGTTGTATATATCCTCTAGTGTCATTGCGGTTCCAGCTTGGATGCTCTCCAGGGTGACGTGTGATGGAGCGTGTTCAAGAAATCTCATGATCGCCAACGTCCAATAGCGTTTATATCCAAGAGCTCCGAGTCCAGACAGAGGCTTTTCAGGCGAGCCTGTTCTGCCTTCTTTCTTAGACAATAAATAGCCTGGAGTAGTTCTTAAGCGCCGGTTGAAGTACCCATAGCGGATGACGTACTGAAGTCAATGAGAAGGTTG